TTGATGTGGTAGTTAAGGCACTCCGGCTCCTTGACGATTATATATGGTCATATATAGTTCTTTATTCTGCTTCGACAAAGTTTCTTTTTTGATCTTTAATGCTTCAAGAGAATTAATAATAAAATCTAACTTGATCTCTATAGAGTCTATCTTATTGACTTTTTAACCTTCTACCATAGAAAATCATAGAAACACATGTATTCAAAGGGAAAAAAACTTGATCTATAACATAAAAAAAAATGAAAAGAATATTAAGAAAAGAATAATATTAGTCTAGGAGAGGATAATCCACAACCTCTAAAATACTATAGTACTTCCAAGAAGAGGGATAATTCACTCTCTGTCAAGAAAGATCAAGCTTTTAATATGATTTTATGATAATTTCAACAAATTGTTAGGAACCATATATAAGATAAGGATTCAAGACCAAAAAATGGAATTACCTTGACATTAGAACAATAATTGAATACAAAGCAAGAAGGTCCTAACTAAACCATAAGAAATAAATTGTCAAGACTGAGGATCCTCTCAGCCTCGACTTTTATATATATTAGGTCCTAGGAAGCTTCTTGAGAAGTTTTTATGAGGCTTAAAAATAAAGCAAGCCTAAGATCCTTCTTTGACAACTTCCTAAATGATCTAAAGCCTCCTAGAATCTTCCAAGTTCTCTTTAAAATTTCTAGAATTTTCTTAGAATTTATTGGAACCTTCTTAGCACTTATTGAAATCTTCTTAATACTTATTGGAACTTTTTAAGTTCTAAAAGAACCTTCTTAGAACCTTCTAGAATTTCCTAGAATTTTCTTGAACCTTCTTCAGTTGTATATCCGTGATACAAATAGCTTCAATCAATTGTATTTATACTTTGTCCAACTAGCTTGGAACTTTTTAGAATGTTCTTAATGGTAGATCCTATCAAAATAACTTCCTTTTAGAAGATTTTAAAAGTGGGCTTCATCTTAGTTACTATCTTCTTATTAGATTCTAGAGGTAGGTCCTACCTAAATAACCACTTTTAATTCTTTTAGGATGTTTTATGGTAGGCTCCATCTAAACCACCAACTTGGCCCCAATTCTAAAAAAAAAATTAGAAACTTCTCAAAAATAGCCCCAATTATCTATTTTTATGCATCAATAGTATAATTATCTTATCTGTATCCCATTATAATAAGAATTATATAATATTTTTTAAAAAAATCAATCATTATCAAATTTTTATTCTACTTATATATTTGACTTGTAAAGTCAAATTTAGTGAAATTAAGGTGAAGTAGCATTTGAAGATTTGAAGACACCTTTTATAAAAACATCAATATTATATTTTATTGATTGTTTAATTTTAATAGAATTTGCTTTGATATAGTCTTATTTCAAATAGAAGTAGATCATAAATTTTATCCTATAGCTTTATATCCAAGAAAATATTAAGTAACCAAGATCAATTATAAAATTTATAAATAAGATTTTTTTGTAATTATAGATTTATTTCAAGAATAGTGGCATTATTTGAAAGGTGCTTCTAAATCACTTATTTTTTATACATATCAAAAGAACTACAAGTATTTTATATCAAAATATATTTTGAATAGTTGGTTGTTTTTAAGTACATATTTTGGTACTTGAAAATAAATAAATCTTTGTTAATTTTTTTTAAATATTCTTTTCTTATACCAAAAGAAAAAAATTAAACTTTTAATCAACAACAAATGATTCATTAAGTTAGAATTTCTTTATCTTTGAATAATGAAATTAAAATTGATTTTTAAATCATTATTTTTTAATCAAGTTCAATCAAATATTTTCTGAAATTTTCTTATGTATGATATTAAATATAATTCTTCTAAATCTTATGATACTTTTAATATAAACTAAAGGACTATTTTTTGTATTTTGACAAATGCTTATATGTTCAACAAGATGAAGCAAATTTTTATGCTTTTCAAACTTATTACAATTATAGCTAATATATATAAAAGTCGAGGCTTACATTATTGTATAATTTTTTTGTTATTAGTAATGTTTGACTATAATAATATTATTTAATATTCTATTTAACAATCATCTAAATTTAGTAATCATAGTTATCATCTATAATTTGATATTTTTGACTTTTTAAAAGTTTATAATTCTATAATAAAAGATTTAAAAAATTATTTATCAAAAATACATATAACAATTAAGGCAAAATTAAGTAAAGCTCAAAAACAACAAAAAATCAATACAAATATCTATTACAAAGAAAAATCTTAATTTTAGGTTGGCAATAAGATACACTTATTTTGTTGTAATATCAAGACCATATTATAAAAAATAAAAAATAAACATATTTAATAAAGATTCTATTTTATCTTCTATCATTATTATGATGTCTTTCTATTTTTGATATTTAAGAGATAAAAAATTAATAACCAATAGATTCAACTCAAAAGCTATTATTTGTTGAGTTACTAAATAAATCATTGAGATTATTGTAGCTTATAAGACATGGTAATAGAAATATAGATCTTTAAGAATGACATATTCTTTTTTCAATAGGTGGTAAGATACAACATATTTGATATCACAACATTTGAAGAGATGCTTAATATTTCTCAATATTATTGGAAGTATAAATCATTATTCATGGTATTTTAAATATTTTATTTTTAAAAAGTTATGAAGGCCTCAACAATAATCGAATAATAAGGTGGTATTTTTACACTAGTATAAGACATTATTGATGGTTAAGATAACATATCAATTATCTTTGACGAAAATAATAATATAAGTATGTAGCTAATATGATTGGTGCATCTTAGATTTTTTTAATATGTATTATAATTCCTTGTAGAACTTATCTATTGAAAAAAGAATAATTTCGAGAATATTAACATTGACATTAATAATTAGAAGCTTTGTAGATAGTGATTTGACTTTACAAGTATTGATAGATGATCAATAGATCAAAAACGTGGCCAAAAAATTGGCCATATGTTGTATATGTTGATTACTTGTTTTACAAGTTGGCCACATATTATACAAGTAGAAAAATTCTCTTGTAAGTTGAACATGTGTTGAATGATAAAATTATTTTTTTTATAATAATTAAATATATTTTTATAGTGATTTAAAAAGTTATGTTTTGAAAATTATTTTATTCTATTGCAATCTTGTTTAAACTTCGTGTTTTTTTTTTTTTTTTTTTTTTTTTTGAAATAATTTTTTCTACATAAATTATATATATAGTTTTTGTTTTAAAAACCCATTCAAATATATCTTAAATCATTTGATGCAATTCTAGTAATTTTTGTAATGAACTTGTTTCTTAAATATTATAATACATCAAATTTTGAGTATGTATGTTATTTTGATTTTAAGACCATTTTGACAAGCTTCTTATGTAAATTTGAACATCTATTTTGAGGGTCGTTTTTTTGTCAATTTGATTTTTGGAAGAAAAAATAATAATCAAAACATAGAGGTTGTGGTTATATAAATTACAAGATACATATATTTACTGTAGAAGTTTTTTTAATAAACAAAGGTACAAATATATAAAAAATTAATATGAAAGTAATGACCTTCCACACTAATAAAGTCCTTGATTTACATGTGACTCAAATTTCAGTTATTTATTTTAAATTGATAAATATATAAGTATATTAAGAGGCAATAAATTCTAAGTACTCATTTATATCTAATTTGCCATTTTTGGAATCTTTTCAAAAAATACAGTGAGTAATTTGTGAATCAACACATTGCTCCTTTCAACAGTGGCATGTCATCAGTGAGTTTGTTTCATGTGCATTGGTTGTCCAATTTAAACTAAATGATTTTAATTTTATTGTAAACTAAACAGTGTGCCCTGATTTCACATTGTTGTTATTTTTTATTTTTTCAAAATGTCATATTTTGAAGGTCATGGATAATGAATGTGGTGTTTACCAACAAATTCATCCAAAATATATTTTTCCTTACTATACGCTACTTTCATTTCGTTAGAAAGCCTCGTTTCACACAACATGCATCACATCCTTAATTTATTTGAAATCAACAAACTCATCTCAAATTACAAAGAATGAAAACTTTAATGGTTTGTTGTTGTGCAATAAAATTAATGTAAAAAACACGTTCTCTCTCTTACAGTCTCTATTACGTCATTTACTTACACAATCAAACTAAATACAGACAAACAAACTTGAAGAAAAGTTAAAAATATAAAAAGGATCTTTACGTTCCCCTTCAATCAAGGCTCGAGAAACAGACACCCAACCTTTACTTTTGACTTTAAAGTGGAGATTCTAAAAGGAGAGGGAATAGGACCTTCAGGGAGGGGAAGTTTAGTTCCCCCCCCCCCTGGCGTTCATTGATGGAGAGTGATCCAAATTTAAAAGGGGAAAGGCAAAGCGGATCGAATGCCTTCGCAGTCAATGTTCACACCGTAGCCATATCTAGGAGTAGGGCACATTCCACAAGACAAAGATATAGTAACAGAAGAAGAAGAAGAAAGAAGGGCATCTATCCCCCGCCATGCAAACCCCACCCGACCCGCGCCCGACCCGTCCTCTGACAGACAACACAGGCACACCCACTCGCATACAAAGGTCGTTAAGTGAGAGCAGCCCACCAAGAAGGGCATATCCATAAACCGCTGTGTGAAAAGGGGTATAGAACTGGGCGGGAAAAAGTCAGGGGGGAAGCAAGGACGAAACTCCTCCCCCCCGCGCGGGGCCACGTCACAGGCTCCCCTTGAGCACTTCCCTCCAGTGAAACTCTGCAACTCTTCTTAGAAACGAGCCACGTAGAAATTAGAAACACTGGCGCGGGGTGAAAAACCCGACACAGGAACCAAAACCAGACCGGGAAAGGGAGGGAGAAAGAAAGAAAGGGACAGGGAGGGCAAAAAGGGCGGGGAAATGCGCAATAAGGCGGGGCTGGTGACAATGCTGGTGACGACGCTGGTGATGCCCGCCGGAGCCTTCGAGCCTTGGAGCCTCGTCTCCGTTGCTGAGCTTCTTCACCATGAGGAGAAAAAACCAAAAAGAAGAAAGAACAAAGCCTCCCGTTCCCTCCCTCCATCGAATAACCAAACAAACAAACATACAAACCAGGCACCAGTCCTCACTTGCCTCAGCTGTTCCGCTAATCATCGTCAACCGCAGCCCTCTCTGTCTGTCTTGATTTCATTCCATTTAGTGGTCTCGCGCACCGGAGATTTAATTCCCTTAATTTTCTGTGCTGGTTGTGTTTGGTTTTCTCGTTTTGCTTCACGTTTTGCGGGGTGAGGCGGTTGTGGTAGTTAGACCCGGGGTTGGTGTGTGTGTGTGTGTATGTATGTAGCGGGATTGACCAGGAGTTGTGAGTAGTTTGACGTCGGGGATTGGCGGTGTGGAGAATGTGGACGGCGTGAGAAGTGTTTTTATTTGTGGTATTATTTTTTGTGGAGATAATTTGTGGAGGTGTTATTTAGCGCGGCTGGAAGTTTGGTGGGAGGGGGACGAGTGTGGTTAAGTGGACTGTTGGCGAGGTGAGGCGAAATGGGCAGCCCGGAGGCCGTGGGAACGCCGGGAAGTGCGTTTGAGGACCTTACTGGAGTCCTGCAAGGGTGGAAGCGCAAGGTCCGTAGAGCTACAAAATCCCACACCTTGATTGAGAAAGTTCAGGAATCTTGCTTATGACATGGATTTCAAACGCTCATTAGCTTCAGCAATGTTTGCCGTTGGACTTGCACTTGTGAGATGGCCATGTGGTTTGGGACGTCTTGGCTGAGGTGGAGATTGCTTTGGAAGGCGCGCGGGTGGTGGTATTGAATGTGGTTGTTCAGGATGTTGCGGGTTGCGCATCTCATATGGTAGGGTAGGGTACGAATTTGGCGAGGAGGGGTTGGGGCCAGCGTATTCTGTCGTGTCGAGCGTGGCGGTAGAGAGCGCGAAGTTTCTGTTGAGTGTGGAAGTTGGTTTCAGGGGCATGGGTGGTCGGTGTTGCGGTAGTTGGTAAAAATCGAGGCGCGGGTGTAGGAAAGGTGCGTGGTATGGTGCAGTGGGAGGCTGTAGTGCGGCGTGTAGCGGAGGATGTGTGTTGGAAGAGGAGAGTCGTAGTTATGTTTGGGTGGGAATGGGTGAAGACTAGGAGGAGGGAACATTGAGGGGGAGTAGCAGATCGCATCGGGAAAGGCAGAATCCGGGTAGTTCTTGCAATGGTTGGTGGTCAAATTTGTAAGCTTGGTCGTTCGTGACGTGAGGTGTGCTGATCACATAGCGCTGCAGACCTTCCGATATCTTAGCCTTTTCGATGGTTTCAAGATGTTCCGTTCAATCGAGGTTGACGAACATGGCTCGAATTATAGTTTATGCGACGAACTTTTCGTAGAGTTCTGACAATCGGGTGCAGCATGACAAGTCTCTGTTATGGATAGTAACGTCGGCTGGATGTCATGTGAGGCGTCATTGGGGTTTGAGAGTATCTTTTCTGTACCCTGGGATTGTGATGTGGTTTGACCGTATCTTTGCAAAATGCAAGACTTCATATTCTTGCTTTCTAACTCCGGACGACGGTTGTGTATCCTACTCATCTTAGTTGACGAATGTCTTCGACTCCCTCGGTCGTCGGTGATGGTCGTATGCCCTGCCTTGATTGCTTGGCGGCGGTATGCAAAAACTTTCGGTTTCCCGTGGAGGTGTCCTAGACGCAGCCTGTGCCACTTCTTAGACGCTTATCGTCCAAGCGCAGGATTTTTCGTTCTCTGAACACCTTCGCGCACCCGCTTAGTTCTACTGTAGGCGCACGCCACGACCACGGGAAGTTAAGCTCTAACTTCGCCTGTGGTGTTTTTCGGTCCCTGAACGCGACCCGAATGGCGCGTGGTTGGGGTTTCGCCAACCATCTGGTTTGGTGGACATCCTGGGGGCTGGTCATGCACTCCGTCGCTTCTTTTTGGATGTCAGAAACCAATCATGGAGGGACTTGTTCGTTAACAGGTGTAATAAGTGAGCAGCATCAACGAAGCATGACGTGATCATCATGTTGCTGGGGGCTTTTCGTTTCCTGAATATTCTCCCATCCTCTTTCATCTCGTAGCTCGCGAAACTTGGGATCCTGCGCAGACTTTGAAATTACCTCGCTACGGGTACGAGTTTCGACGAGCTACATTGCAAACGTTTTAGTTACTCCGCTGTTCGGACAATTTGTATCAGACGTCATCCTGCGTTTATTTTGTGTGAACCCTGCAAAGTGTTCGCCAGTGGGGGCTGGGTATACCTTTTCACGGTTGTGGTGGCTTGATGCCCGTTTGCGAAATTGCGGGTATCACATACTGCCATTAATACTTATTACCGTTACCTTGAAAAGTCGAACGTTTGATTCAGAAATAAACGGTTTCGCGCTCATATCCAAAACCTTAGATGTATTCTTGTTTGAGATATCTATTTCCTGATGATACTGTTCCGAATTGGAGCAATCGTGCGGATCGCGATTAATTCGGGACGACTTTGCGAATGAGAATGTAGCATGTTATATAATCTTTTTGTTGTGCTTTCTGTTGATTAGGTCATGAGTTGAAATTGGTTAAGGTAATACTGAAGCATAGACATATTTTTGATACGGTTGAACTATCTCATAGTGGTATTGTCTTTTTGTGCCTACTTTAGATGTTGATTTCCTATTGGTACACCTGTTAATGCTTTGAAGGTGTCTGGGAAGAAAGGCGGCACCCCAAAGAAGAAGGACGTGACTTTTGTGGCTCCTGATGGCGAAGAAGTGAAGAACAAGAGGCAACTGGATAAATATCTGAAAGCTCATCCAGGAACGTTGTCTGCGAAGGATTTTGATTGGGTTGTTCCAGGTAAGGACACTTGACCTCCTTGATCGTGTGCTTGCATCTGCCATGTGGTGTGTTTAGTTATTATTTCAATGATCAGTATTATATGTATCACGCACGTCGATGTGTTCAGAGAGAACAAATTGAATACATGGTTTTTAGAATTCCAAATTGATTACATCAGTCGTCTTTCAGAAGCAACCCTCAGGGCAGCAGAAATCGGTTATGGTGTCGTAGGTTTAGATGGATAGACATAATGTGTAGATTCGTCCGGAAAGGCAGATGTCACCGAAAAGGCGTTGGCATTGCTTATAAGTATTCTTGCATCCTTTGCCACCAATTCATTATATCTGGGGTGGTAACATGGTTTTTATTTATGAGACAATGTTAGTACTGTGTTTCAAATGTATGAGTACTCCGTGATTTCTCTAGGGCAATTGATTCATCCTTATTAAGCAGTTGCTTGTTCTTTAGAAGGGTTGATGATGCCGTGGCACTTGGGCGAGAGGGACCGCGTGAACTCGATGTATTTGAGGTTCTTACACGGCGCTTGTGTTGTTGCATTGTGAAGCTGGCGATGCTGTCACCCCCACGGAAAATCGGAGAAGATCTGCAAGACTGAATTCCAAGGGCCGGCCTTCCACCGAAGGCGTTGATGAAGACACCGAGCTGAAACAGCCCGTGGTCAAGAGGTCAAGGAAGAGCCGTGACAACGGAAAGGACGAAAGCGATGGTGGGTGGTGGTTTTGGTGCTTGAGGGTGTGGGGTGTGGACGAGTGACGTGTTGGTTTCCCGCTGAGGTTGGGGGTCGTACAGAAGGGTGTGTCTGTTCAGTGATGTTGGGCCAAGATGGGGGTGGGACTGGTATTGGAAGGACTGAATGATGTGGTGATGGTGTGTGGCAGCGGGTGCAGGCAAGGACGACGGCGACGTGAACGCAGTGACGAAGAATGGAGTCCACGAGCCTGCAGAGAAGAAAGTGGAGGAGAAGGAAGCCATGGATGTGGACGCCCGCAAGGCGGAGGGTGGTGGTGAGGAGGAAGGCAAGGACGTGACGACGGAATCGGCGAGTGATAAAGTCGAGGACGAGAAGGTGGTGTCGGAGGGGATCGACGTTGAGAAGCCCGTGGAGGCTGCGACGGAGGCATCGACAAAAGGCGAGGGGGAGTCCAAGGTGGTGTCGGAGGGGATCGACGTCGAGAAGCCCGTGGAGGCTGCGACGGAGGCATCGACGAAAGGCGAGGGGAAATCGAAGGTGGAGGGCAAAGGAGTGGGGAACGGCGACGCAGAGAAGGCGAGCGAAGAGGCTGGCGAAAAAGTGGAAGTGGCGGAGGAGGCCCGGTCCGAGGACACCCCTGCGACGATCGGAGAAGTCGGGAAGCCTGAGGCTGTGGAAGCTCCGGGTGCAGAGGCGGAGGCAGTCGCCTAGGAGGCAGGGTCTGTGCAGCAGGGTGTAGAGAGGAGAGCGAATGCACGCAAAGTAGCGTTTGGGGACGCCGAGGCAGAGCGAGCGTCCAATGCATGGATGGTAGAAGGATGGTAGCGGCGAGAGCATCTCTTCTGGCATGCGGAGGATGGGACGGAGGTTGGCGTGGAGCTTGCAGCTCTGGGGCCGACGGGTGGTAGGATGTCGGGATGGTGGTTGTATGTAAGCGTGGCAAGTGGGGCAAGGGTGGCCGAGGAGGAGTGAGGTATGTTGATGAACAGAGGCGCAAGGACACACTCCAGGCGGTCGAAGCGCGGGGGAGGTAGAGAACGGGTAGAGGGGGACGGCGGAGTGATACAAGCAGGATGCATGGTTGTTGGGGTGTGGAGATAGAGAAGGTTGATGGCAAGTGTGAACCGTGCAGCAGACAGTTGCGGTATTTTGTGATATTTGTGTGGTCAGGAAGATTGCAGTCCCTCATGTGCCGCGGAACAGCTTTTGAACGACAGGGTGGTGGATCCCTTTGAACAGTGGTGTGGTGTGATGGGTTGTGGTGTGGAATTTTGGTGTCTGTTTTATGAATTGGATTGGCGGCAGCCCTTTCAGAGTGGGATGGGTGCGGTAGCTGTGACCGTTGTTGGCACGTGATAAAAGAGTGTTAGTCAGATGTGGGTTACATGTTTTGCGATTCCTACAATTGAATCGATAGCTGTATTAGCACAGTTTAGGACGATAATTTTAACTTTGAGTCTCAAACACGGTTGTTGGGAGCCCATGGAATGGTGCAAGGTCATGAGTTGGATGATGATTGTGTTTGCAGCACAGCACTTACATTCCAAAAATGTGGGTTGACTAAATAGCTGGAACTGGAGCTATCAACGTAGTAATAATTGGCAGAAGACAACTTGAGTTCTTCGAATTCAATGGCTTCTCAGTTAAGAGTCTGTAGCAAGTTGCAAAGAGACGTATACATTTGAAACTAGAAACAGAGATTTTGGGTGGAGTCTGATGTGTCAGTTAACAATTTAGCAGTCCACATTTATTCGTTGTGAGGAACGAAAGAACCAGGTGGGATGAAAGGCATAGTTCACAATTATGTTATTATTTACTTTCCGCTCTATTTGAATGAGCGACATGTGCTTGTTCTGTAGTTCGATATATAGTTATTCTACAAGTGGCAGAAACAGTCGAAGAAAATCCCCCATCTGCAAAGATGATCCTTGCTGGCTTGACACCCTAACTTGCAGGCCAACTCCGGCTGAGATAGCCGCATTAGGAGACTACATGGTCACATGCAACAGGTTGTGATATACAAAGAACACTGGCATTAGCCAAGACGTAATCCTCACCACCTATTCATGCTATTTATACACATTATAAGACTTCAATGCCTAAATTATAGGTACAATGGTTGCTTCTGTAAGTTTGGAGACTTATTTCACTCGAAACTCGGGGCTATCTCCGCTGAGGGCACGGATTACTTGCTATCAAGGGTTATTACTCATCATCCTTCTTCGCATCTTCTTTCGTCTGTGAGTCGATACCCTTCGTGTTATCCGTTGCGTCTTTGACCGGTGATGTCTCCTTGATTTTTCCATCATCAGGACTCTCAGCATCGATCTTCTTTTCAGTCTCCGACTTGGGAGGGAGATTTTCTGCAGTTACTCTTTTTATCTCCTCCACCGGGGTTGTTACTGACTTCGGTACGTCCAAGTCGGTGGTTTTGTGGTTCCCGTTATCTTCGACAGTTTCCTCTTTCTTGTGCAAAGCTTGATCCGCAGGGATATCCATCGCTTCTTCAGACCCTGTTTTTTCCACAGGCTCGCCCTTACCTAGAGCTGATACACGGTAAAGCCACCAGTCCACTTCAGTCTCCCACTTATGAAATTACAAATGTTCCTATTGATTTAATTGAAAGTTTCTAATCATGATCAGAATGTTTCTAAGAGGAACAATGACCACCAAGCTGGATCTATTACGGCATAACACTTACACGTGTCCTTGCTCGCTGCTCCATTGTCACGAGTTTTTCGTGCTCGCTTGACCGGAGTTTTCGGCTGAATCTCCTTGTCAATGGCTTCAGATGAAGAACGGCTCTTTAAGCTCAGTCTTTCAGATCTCCGTGTTGTGTAAGCAGTCACTGACTCCACAGCTTGATCATGAGACAATGCAAGCACCGTCTTAGTGGTTCGCAGTTGAAAACAACTGTACCAAGTAATGGCCATAAAAAGTGATATATGGCTACGAAGAGTACGAAGATATATAGAGTAAATGTTGAAAACATTTACTGTTACTAAAATGTAGAAGGTAAAAATCGGTCTGCAAACACGGTGAGAGTAGGCCAACCTGGAGTGCCCCAGTCGAAGTCGGTTGCAACAGCCGTCCCTGGATGAGCCTTGAGATATTTATTTAACTGTGTTTTGTTCCTTATTTCCTCGCCATCTGGAGCTAAAAATGACACAATCTTCTTTTTTGGAGTCCCTCCCTTCCTCTCAGAAAGCTGATAAAAATCACAAAGGAGAGAACAAATGTCATTAAAATCGCAGCCAAAATAATTAAGTGCACACCCACCTTCAGCTTGTTATATAGGAGCATCATACCCATGCACGGACTCGACGATAAATTTGGCATAGATTAATCAAAGTCGACATCTGATCACACTGAAAAGGGTTGTGATAGGAACCGAATTTCTCTAATTCAATAGGGATCCAACATTACAATCAATTACTATTCACTGATGCTAATTTAAACTACATATGTTCTAGATTTCCTTCCCAAAGCGGTAAAGTGATGCTTTCTTCCACTTCACTTCAACGTAAGGACAGCGCTCTAGCACATAGGCGCTGCGAACATCCTTTTAATCTAAAAATTAGCAAAGAAGAGACAAGGGGCAGATAATCGAGGGTTGGGAGTTCTAGCGTAAAACGCAGCTTCCAAGGAAAATTAACAACTTGGGAGAACACCATAGAAGGAATTTCCCCAACAAATTATTACTCAAGGATGCTAAACATAAACAACGCAGGATCGTGGGCAACCTCAATAACATTAATAAGGCATCTTTCATAATTTTCCGAGCTCAGCAAAATTAACCATGAAAACAAGCAACACAAATAACTGTCTTTCATGTTCAAGCTTGGCGATGAACATTGTTTCGACTAAACATACTTAAAGACCAATTCAAGAAGCAGGGTTTCCAGACGCGCCCATTGAGGAGGGGGGTTTGCAGCTCTACGGACCTTGCGCGTCCATCCTTGCAGAGACCCGGCGAGTTCTTCAGAGGCGCCACCCAGCGATCTTAAACCGTCAGCCACGGTTTTGTTCCCTTCCGAGCTCCCCATTCCGCTTCACCTTGTCAACAACTTGCTCCTTCCTTGCGTCCGTTGTACCACCACCAAGGCACTCGAAACAAAGCCGTGTCGAAAACTCTCGCAAGCGCAAACTATCCTAAGGTTCATCACACAAGCCAGAGCTTCAAAACCCCGCGGGAGGGCTCAATTCAACCATGCTCAATCAAATTCCACGCGGGTCAAACCACAGCATCCGAAAGGCACAGCACAGAAGAAAACATAAGAAAAGGCCCGCATGTAAGGCGCAGAATGCCACGAAAAAAGCGAAAGCAACTCACAGAGATGCCGGCAGATGCAAGAAAGGGAAAGGTGCGAGACCCAGAGCGGAATTGGAGCAGTACCCAGAGAGCGATGGGGATCCGTCAGCGCAGTTGAAAGATTGCGAGCTCCAGCGAATTTCAGAAGACGAGGCCCCGCGAGCGATTGCAGACGACGAAGCCCACGAGCCTGTGCTCGCGACGATCGCCGACCGCGCGGCTTACTGCGCGGCTGGGTTCCCTTAGGCCCCGCGTCCCCTTCGTCTGCCGCCTTGTTTCCTGCCTCGTTCGCTTTCCCTCGGGCTTTCCACTCTGTTGGAGTCAATGCCTTTGTTTAGTATGTGTTTTCCCACTTCGTGTATGTGTTAGTGGTGGATTATTAATAATGGTGAAGTTGCTTGAGCAAAAAATGAAGGTTGGGAGATTGTGCGCCATTGAAAAGAGTTTTCCTTCTTCGATGGGTGTATTTGTTGCTGTTTCTGTTTTGTTTTGTTTGTTTGCTTGGTGGTTTTGTTTTATTTTGGAGACAGGCATCTTCCTTCAAATGTACGGAGAAGTTAATTATATTACTTAATAATAGTATTGGATTTTTCAATTTCCATCATTAAAAAAAATTAGGCATATGAAAAGAAGAAGAAGATAAAATATAAAAGAATAATAATAAAATAATAATAAAAACAAAACAAAAAGATTCTAGATGGAATGGATTTTTAATTGAAAATTTAATTCATGCATGAATGTATGATGACGATTTTTGGACAATTTTTTTTTTTGAATGTCATTGTTTTTATGATAACGTATTTTTATTTTTCCATATTGCATTTGAGTTAATGGGTACTTGGATCATTTGTTTTATTGGTTAATTCATGCTTTAAATTGATATTATTGTTTTGTATTATTTTTATTTACATTTTTAATCATGTTAAATGAGATGATGAAACATTCTGTATTTTTTAAAATTAATTTTGATTATCTGTGCTTAGATGTATACTAGAAATGGATAACAAAATTGGAAAAAAATGTCAAAAAACAAACAAAAATAAAATGAAATGAACAGCAAATAAATTTTGTAGTTTTGTGCATGAAACCTTTTATGATACTAATTGACTAGACTTGAAATTGTGTTTTGACAAAGATACATATATATATATATATATATATATATATAGTTCTTTTATCTTATTTTTATTTTTATGTGTGTCCATCACAAGATTAAGGTGTTTCTTCAAGGATCTTACATTAGTTAGTAGTTTGCATGCTTCAAAATATATATGGCCAAGTATAATATGGTTTATTTTATACAAAGGATTTTGTATATTTTTTTTAATCATAAATTTTAATTTGAAAATCCGTGTTATTAAAAAATAATTATACAATATATCAGCAAAAATATTATATTCCTTTGTAAAAGTGATTATTTCTACTATTTTTGAATTTATGTAACTATTTTAAGAATTATTAAGAACATCATTTATATATATATATATATATATATATATATATATCGTATTATTATACTATGTTTTAATTATTATTTTTTATTTTTTATTTAGAAATAATTTAGGTAGAGCATTATTCTAGATAAGTTTAAGCACAAATATATTATCAATTCTTATTTTTATTTATTTATTTATTTTTGTAGAATGTGAAGTGTATTTATGTCTAAAGCTCTAATATTTTATTTTAGTTAAACACCATTTATAGATGCTATTTGAAAATTTATTGATATATTACATTTTATATTGTATTTTTCTAAAATTAATTTTTTTCTTAATTTAGTGGGTTTATAAAGTTTTATAAATACTTTTGATAAAAATATAATATTCCAAAAATTTACATAGATGAGAACATTATTTTTGAATTTTTGTGTTAAATGTGGCATTAAAATTTTTAATTTATAAATTATTATGTTTTATCTAGATCTTTTAAAATTCATAATATTTGTGATTTTTTCCAATATTTTTTCTTAAATTTTTTTTTGATCTAGTACACATGATTAAAGAATCATTGATAGAAGTCAGCAGAAAAATAAACCTCATAATTCATAAATATTTTCTTCACTAATTTTCTTTTGTTGAATCTTATTTTTAAGATTAATTAACTTTATTTAATGATTAAATTATATATATTTTTTAATTTTTTTTAATTTTAATTTTTAAGACATTCTATTAATTTATAGAAAACAAGTGGTCAACATGAGCAACACAAGGCCATTTTTTTTATCTACCAATTACTTATAAACACTTTGCAAGTTACATACATATTTTGCACGTTTAATATGTATTAAATGACCAATAGAATGTTGTCATATAATGCTTTAGTTAAATAGTATATATAGAGGCAAAAATAAAGACTTCTTCACTCTTATTAATGTTTTTTTTGGATTCATATTAAGAATCTCTAATCTCTTTGTATTTGGCAATAGCCATTCTATTTCTATCTTATATCTACCTTTGATTTTTCTACTTTCTTTCTTTAGATGTCATAAGAATATATTGCTTCTTTAGATTTTTGTTATAATTTATGTCTTTGATAATTTAATGAAAATACTAATTAAAAGTGAATAAATTACTTTACTTCTTATTTTTGTCTTTTAAAGATTGCAAATGATCCACCTTCAAATTAATATTTTTTTTTCTCACATTAATTCTTTCTTCAAAGACATTAGACTACAACTTTTGTAGAAATTTTTATTTAGTAGTAGAGGTTGTAGATTATTATTTATTGATTTGACTTATAGATTTTTTAAAGTTGTTTATTGTATAGATAAAAATAATAATTATAGATGCTATATATAATAGAAGTGAGAATAGATTTTTACTTTTTACAAATCTTCAATACCTTATTAATGTTCATGGGAGAAAAATTTCACATATTATTAATATCAACTATAGAATTTTTATTCCTATGCCAATGAAGAAGTCAACAATGAGGTCTAATATCTTTGCTAAGAAGTTGTATACATAAGTGAGGTAAATAGATTAATTTTAGAAGTAAATTTAAAAATTCTTGCTGCTTTGAATATAGAGGCATAGATTAATATATTAAAAAAAATTGACAGGAAAAGATTAAAAATTTAAAGATTTCTACAATCAATCAAATTCTATTTAAAATTATATCTTTTTTCACATAATAATGGAATTACTCAAGTTGGATTTATAACTCCTTTATATATATATATATTATTCTTATATTTGATAGAAAAGAATTCATAAATCTTATATGATCGAAATTTATTTTTGAAGTGTATATGCCTTATTAAAAAAAAGTGGTCCAAAAAGAATAAAAGAAATAAAACTCCTATTTTTACAAAAAAGATTATAACTAACTACCATCTATATTATCAAATTTTAAAATTAGCTTACAACATGGATTGAATTTAAAAAGCTCTTATCAATAAATTTTAATATAAGTTAAAAGATAAAATCAAAGATTTATTATTAATAGTATCAAAAGTAAATTCATTAGAAAATTTTATAGTTTGAGCCATTGCATGCAATAATTAACTTTAAAAATTACTAAGAATAAAATTTTGCTTTAAGAGGAATAAATCAAGTCATAACAATAATTCCTAAGTTTGCAAAACTTATTTATTAAAGCTAAAATCTATGCCAATTAATGTAGAATATTTTAAATTTTTTACTATGTAAAATAAATACTTAATATTATCAAAAAAGATTGTGCTTTTATTATAGAGAATCTAAGTATACTAATTAATATTATTTAAAGAAACAACACAATCACATAATAATGAGCATGGATGCAAAAGAAGACAATGTGTTAGAATATGAATTTGTTCAACTATAATAAATTTTTCAATATCTTATAAATGATGATTTTTGAGAGCTTTTAATTTTTTTTAATTATTAAAAAAATATTTTAATCTACTCTAAAAATAAAAAGAACATAAACTTCATGTTTATTGTATATTAAAAAAATTTAAAAATATAAGAGTATATACCAAGATAAAAAAATATATATTTTATATAAGCCAAGTTGATTTTTTAAGATATATTATTTCAAATAAAAGGCCTTATAATAGATCTTAAGAAATTCTAAATTATCATAGATTAAAATATTATAAAAATAATAAAATATTTCTATTTTTAAAAATTTAATTAATATTCTTAAATTTTTATGAAGTTTTTTTTTTTTTTTTTTTTTTAAATTGTAGATTCGCTTATATATTTGATTTGTTAAGATAATCTTAAGTGAAATAAAGAAACCAAAGCAACATTTGAAGCTTTAAAGATAATTTACATTCCAACATTAATTTATATTTTTTTGATTTTTTGAAAGCATTTTTATAAAAATAAACACATTAGATTTTGCTTTTAGTATAATCTTCTCACAAATAAGAGCAAATAATAAATTATATCCTATAGTTTTTTTCAAGAAATATTTTAGCAGCCAAATTTAATTATAAGATCTATAAAAAAAACTTCTTCTAATAGTAATTTTATTTAAAAAATGACTCGATTATTTAGAAGGTACTACTAGTTTAGTGAATTTTTATGCAAATTACAAAATTTTTGATTACTTTATATCAATACACATTTTAAATTTTTGCCAAGACTGTTGAAGTATTTTTTTTTTGTTAAGATTTATATTGAATATTGACTAAGAAAACAACAAGGATAGTCAAATATAATTTTTGGATATTCTAATTGTGAGTGTTAAATTCACTCCTCAATCCAATTATAAGATGGCGTGAATTAAGAGTTGTTTGTGATTGGTGGTATGAAGTGGAAGTAGCAAGAATAAGAACAAAAGAAGGAAAATACAAAAACAAGTGAAACAAGTGCAATCAAGCAATTGTACAATACAAAACTAATTACAATCTATTCATTCAATTTTCATCTAATACAAAGTAAAAAGTAAAAATAAAAAATATATTTTAAAAAAAGTAATATTTTTTTGTCTTTTGAATGATATAAGAAACATGTAAATCCGAGTTACTATGAATAAGTTATGAAGGTTTAAAAATTATAAGTAAATAAATAAAAAGTTAAATAAATAATTTTTACCTCAAGGATAACTTGCTTAAGAGATTAAGAGTTTGAACCTCACCAAGACTCACAAGTAGTATACATGAGTCTCTAAGAGAGGCCATGAGGCCTTAGTCTTATCGTCCTAACTACCTTCAAGGTGCTACAACCCATATGGGACTTGTGCACCTCCCTTCTTATAAGGACGACACTAGCTACTGGTCTTCCTATTTTCTACTATTAAAATTAATAC